CCTCCCGCGCTTCTGACTGTACCCAGTGCATGTATAAACAAACAAACAAACAAACAAATAAATAAATAAAAGCTTGCCTCTATAAAAAAAAAAAAAACATAAATATGAATAGGTATTTTCTAGACCTTAAAAATAAATGAAAGTGAGAATAGCTTCAGGGTCTAGCATTAAACATGAATTAGTTATATAATGCATTTGAATTAATATTTGGTTTGTATTTTATTATATCAAATTAAATTCTATAGTTACAAAGCAGAAAACATATTAGCAGAAATGTCAGAATTAGAACAGTAGGGGGGCATCTAGGCTTTTGCAGAAATCTTCACAATTCCTCCATCTTATCTAATGGTATCCTGGGGCATTCATAGTTTCTTTACCTTTCTCTCTAAACTTTAGGTTCATGTGCCATTATACTGCCGCTTTTGCTCCCTCCAACCCAAGCTTGAAGAATTGATTATGAAAATGACAACTTTTTTTCACCTGTCTCTTTAGTAGCTATTTTCAAATAATTATCAGCAAGTTAGATAGGTTGGTGTTTATTTTTCTATCTTTATAAGAAATAGTGAGCCTAGTGACAATATAAAATCAAGACTTCGTTTTACTTATTTTTTCTTAGTTTTTTATAATCTAAAGTTGTTTGTATTTGTTTATACTCCTCAAAAGAAGTACATGAACCAACAGCATCGACTTTATGCCAGATCTACTGAATCAGACTCTCTAGTTTAACAAGTCCTCCAGATAATTTGCATGCATGTTGAAAGTTTAGAAGCACTATTAAAAGGAAAATAATAAAAATGATTCCTGTTGGTACCAGGAACCTCCTATAATGTTAGTTGACTGAGCTACCCTAGCCAGCAAATATAGACATTTCCCAGATGGAAAGGTTTGGGGCAATGTGGAGAATATAGTTTAATAATAGCACATAGGCCTTCCCCAGTTTGTGCATCCTTCCTGATGACAAGGACTTTTGCAGCTTAGAATCAGCTAAGGGCTTTTTTACATACTGGTCTCACTGACATTACATGAAAAATTTTACTCCAAATGATTTCTAGCCACTTAGTATTCAGTAACATTTATTTGGGTCATTTGTGCAAAGCATTGATGTAAGCAATTTGAATGTATGCTTTTGCATGTTTGAGGGGAATAGGAGACAGAAGGATTGAAAGGCAGAGGGTTTAAAATAGAAATGAAGCAATCCTACCACTAAGGAGTCAGATGCTAGCTGATTCAGATGAAATATACACACTTATGAACTAATTTTAGAAAATTTACAAAGCACAATACCAACACATATGAATAAATTTGCAAACATTTCACCTAAGTATTGTGGAAATGCCAAATTCATTTTTTTGTTCTTTTAACAAATACTTGTTGATCATCAGTGATGAATTAATGCTAAACACAACAACATAATCTGTATTATATAGAATTAATCAGTCTTTCTTAACATTCTGAAGATAGTGAATATTGATTCAAAGTATGAAGGAAACTAAACACATGAATCAGCGGAAAATGAAATGCATTTAAAGTATAGCATTTTTCTGTTGGAAAATATTTATTTATTCATTCCTGCGTACATCTTTCTAAAAAGATACATAGGAGCCACACTCATTCATTTCTTGAACATTTGAATACTCCACATATTGAAAAATGTATTGAATACTTTTTATACAGCAAGTGTGAGGGATTCCCCTGGACAAGTAAACAAATAATTGCAAATACATTAGGGAGTCATAATTAGAGTAATTTCAGAAATACTCTGGGAAAACAAAAGATAAAATAGTGACTCTTGAGGGAAGGGGTGTCAGACATGACTTCATACAGGTGACACAACCTGAATCTTAAATGCTGTCTTTAATCAGAAGCAGGGGTCAGGAAAGAACACTCTAGGGAAATGGAAACTCCAAGCAGTGAAGAAGCATATGTTTGGAAATTGAAATGAATTATCTTGGAACTCTTGGGGAACGATAATACTAGAAGTTGAGAACAGCTAAAATATAAGATATAAATAGGACATGAACCAGAGACCTTTGCATATATTGTTCAATCTTTAGTTGATGTTCTTTGGTTGGAGCATTTCTCTACCTCTCTTTATCTTTCTCTCTCACACACTACACACATCCCTTTTGCCTACTTAGCTCTATTCATCTCCAAATCAAAAATCTTTCTACCAGGGTGGATTTCCCTGAACTTCTGGTGTAGTTCAAATACTTTCATTGTGTGCTCCCATAAAACCATGCTCATTTCCTTTACAGAGGTTTTCTTATTTTGTACTTATATGTTGTATATCATAGTCGGTGACATGTATACACCTATATTACATACACAATACATATAAATACACGCATACATCTATACAAAGGCAGGTTTCATGAAATTATGCTTACATTGAAATATATATTCTATTCTTTGTCATTAAAATTTCTGTTTATATATTGAACTTTACAACTAAACTCCACATATGATCTAGAGTTTGAAAAACATTACAATGCACTGTACTACATTAGAATAGAAGCAATAGTTTGGTTTTATTCTCTATTCTGTCCCAACAATTAATCTGACACTTGGGGCATGGAAGACACTCAGTATAAATTTAGTGAATGAGTGAAAGGAATACAAAACTTTTGAAAGTTTTATTTTTAATATTTAGATATTATCTTTATTTTTTAATTTTCTTTTATTGAGGTTACATTGGTTTACAACATTGTATGTTTTAGGTATGTAGAATCTCACCTCTTCAAATATATGTTATGACACCATACCCACCACCAAAGCTGGAATAATCCTCCACCATAGACTATTGGGCCCCTTCCACATTTTGCACCCCACCTCAACCTCCCCTTGTGATAGCCTGAGTTGTGCAGTCAGATTTCAAGAGTTTATTTTGGTGTGGTGTTATCTGTACCTTTGCTTTTTTCTTTATATTCCACACATGAGTGAAATCACAATGCTCTTCTGACTTACTTCACTTAGCATAACCTCCTCCAGTTCCATCCATGTTGTCACAAATGACAAGATTTCATCATTTTAAAGTTGAGTAGTGTTTCATTGTGTATCTATATATCCCACACTTTCTTTGTCCACTCATTTGTAAAAGATATTACTTTTTAGGTATGATCATACCTGTTTTTGTCAACAAGAAAATTGAAAGTTAGAGAGGTTAATTTGCCAAAAGTTCTGAGGCTTAAAATAGGTAGAACCAGGTAGAAATAGGTAGATTCAGCTTTGTTTTACTCTAAAACTATGCTAATCTGCCCTCGTTCAGGAGCAAAATGAGAAAATGTTTAGGTTGCTTATGGAAGATCGCAAATGGTAATTGTTCCAGTAGAGAAATGATTAAAGATAAGTGTATTCAAATAACTGCATCAATTAATAGGCAGTTAATGTGCAACTCTGAAAGGTAACTGACCTTTTTATGTTCTACAGTTAGAAAATCATGGTTTGCTTTAAAATATTGCAAAAATATGTCACCTGATAAAAAAATAATAAAATAAAATATTGCAAAAATAACTGGAGGCGTAGATAAAATTGTTGTTGAAGCAATGACTGCTATATGTGTTTTAAATTGTTCATTTTTTTTTTAAGTTAAAAAAGAGAAACCTTGAAAACAGCATAAGGAGAGTAGCATTTCAGGAAAACTATTCTCATTTTTACAAGTAAATGTGGAAAATACAATAGGATCCAAACATAAGTCAAGAGTTTATTAACTGAGATAATGTTTTTATAGCTCAAGATCCAACATCTGGCATATAGAAGAAACCCAATGTTAATTTTTTCCATCTCCACATCAGGTTAACCACAGTCATCTAGTCATCTGTGCCCCCCAAAAAAGGGGGGGGAGAGGGGAAGAGGGTTGCCCAATATAAACAGTATTGTATTGGCTTTGGAAAAAAAAACTTTGTAGTCACATAGAGAAATAATAATTTTCACATTTCATATTTTTCTTTTCAAGAAAAATACTTATTTTTATCAACATGATTACAAATAATTAAAATAGTCATATAAAAGTGTGATCTTTTCTGTGTAGAACTCAATTTTCCTGTATGCAGATGACAGGAAGGTAATGGTCATTGATCATAATGCTTGTTAGATATGCATTGTCTTCCTAGTAGTATTGGTCTGAAGTCCATATCAGATTCCCTTTGAAAACATTTTTCTCTAAGAATATTTTTTTCCAACCATTACTATACTAAATATAGAAGAATAAAATGGGATACATTTTTCCATCTTAATTCTGTGTTTCTTCCAATTTAAAAATAGTCATTAGGAAATCTGAAATACCACTACTTATATATCCTGATTCAGAAAAAACACTTTTACCCATCACTAAATGGGCAAATAATTAATTAGATCTAATTAATTAAGGGACTGGATTTTAGTTCTTAATTCTACCATTAACTAGAACTTGTTTATGACATTTAACTTTTTTTTAATCTGAGTTCCCTCATTCTGCAATTCATTTCCTTCAAATGTAAAATAATGAAAAGACGTATATTCTACCTGCCTCATTAGGTTATTATGAAGATCAGACTGGGTGATAAAGAATAAAATATAATGAAATAGTTTAAAATTTTGTTAAAAAAATGAGAAATATGAATATATATTATAATATATTTATATATCACTGATTGTGCAAACACAAGTCACAAGTGCATATCCATGGATATGATGGTATTTATTTAGGAGGATAGGTGAAAAGAATATCCTATTTTTTAAAAAGTATAAATGTTGAAATTATGGAGCAACAGGAAGACCACCTCCAGCGGCACCAAGAAAAGGGCACATTTAGTACTACCTCTATTGGTTCTTGTGAGTTATGGATGCCAAAGATCAAACCAATAGTAACATAAGCCTGTCTAATCCAGGAGATTAGAAAAGTGTTCCACTTTTCTGAAGACTTACTGATTATTTAAGTCAAACTTTAGAATTCTAACACTAGATTGTTATTCCTTGCTGTAAGTCCATTCTGATGTTTATTCTTGGTTCTGTTCATCTCACAGCTGCCGATGGACCAGGAGATCGTTTCATCATTGGAGAATCCCAAGCTGGTGAACAGGTGAGATTCATAGACCTGAAAGACAGCAAAGATTTCTGTTTCATGAACTTTTGACATCTATTCTAAACTTATACCATTTTTGTAATAGAAATCTTAGAGAGGGATTAAGTGCATTATCAAAGAGATTAAAGAACAGTTCCCATGGAAAGAACCAACAGAATTTTTTTTAACAGATGCCTGGATCAAGATGTGGTATATATACACAATGGAATACTACTCAGCAATCAAAAAAGATAAACTCATACCATTTGCAGCAACATGGACAGAGCTGAAGGGATTATGCTCAGTGAAATAAGTTAGAAGGAAAAAAAAATATATCGGATGGTATCACTTATAGGAGGAATATAGGAAAGCTGAACAGTGTCAAAAAGGAAAAAAGACAAAACATGTAGGCAAACTATAGATATGAGGCATAAAGCAGGGGAAGGAAGGGAGAGGGATCAAAACAGGAGAAGGAAGAGCACAAGGGACTATGGTGACATTTAACAGGAACTCTACCTGAGGGGAGAAATCAAATACTATTAAAAAAAATGAATGACGATATAAGAAAACTAAAAAGTTAAAAAAAAAAAAAGAATCTGGTTTTATTTATTAACATATGGTATGGTGGTGGTGGTGTGTTTCAGAAATGTGCCACAAGCATTTTCCAGCTCTCTTAACTGGTTGATTTTTACTATATAAACATTAATATTCTAACTAGAACTATAATTTTGGAGTGGTCTTCTCAGATTTTCCCCAACTTGTGTTACAAACAAGGAAATTTAGAAGAAGAAAATTATTTAACCTTTCTAGCATGTCATTTAGATTGAATTTTCTCATTAGTGATCTTAACAGGAAATGGGAATACATATATTTATATTAAGAAATAAAGCACTAATGAGCCATAATGGAAGTAAAATAGAAATTCTCTTATTTAATGCTTTTGAGGCCAGTAATTTACCATTTAATTGAAAATGAGTTAAAGTGGGGAATTACTTTATATCTTTAAATAAATATAAATTTAACTAAATAAATGAACATGTATTTGTCAATAATGTAATAAGCAAGTCTTGTATTTTGATAAGGTTTGCTCCACTACTTGAAAGGAGAGCCTTCCTTTTTCATATGATTTGGTAGGTTAATTTTTAGAGTCTGGAAACACTATTATCATTATACAGAAATTTTTTTGAGCATTACCAAAAGATAATCTACCAAGTAATACCAAATAAAAAGATCTACTTTTGGATAGCAGGTAAACCTATATTTGATTTTCTATCTGATCTTTTTTATATAGATCATAACCAAAGGGCACTACCTGTTATTTCCAGCTTGGGTTTCTTTAGAGAAAAATTGAAGAGCATTTGCAAAGCATCTGAATATAAATCCTTTCAGATTTTTACTTTATTTTTACAATTTTGTACAGATGCTTTACCCACACCTAATTTGAAAAGTTATTTTTAGCTGAATATTTTAATTGAGTTATTCCACAGGTTTAACTTTTATAGAAAATAACACTCGGGGCCTCCCTGGTGGCGCAGGCGGTTGAGCACCACGCTGTGAAGCTGTCCGCAACCTCTGAAGTGCCGGTTCAATCCTGGCTGGCCAGCGAGATTCCCACATGGCAAAGCAGACCTCTCAAGTCTCACCCGCTGCTCCCCTCGGCAGTGGATTTCCTCAGTCTGCCTATTCCATTCCCACTCTGTCTCTGGTGAATCCTCTCACCCTCCTGCACATCTGGCCTGTACCCCAGTTCTTGTATAAAAATAAATAAATCTTTTTAAGAAAAGGTACCATTTAAAAAAAAAAGAAAATAACACTCCTCACACTCATATATCATTGACTTATATAATATTTACTTAAATTACATAATTCAAAAACAAATATTGCCAGAACTTGCACAAGAGCTTGAGAACAAATTCAATCGAACCTTAGCAGTAGTTCATAGGTAAATAAGAGAAGAGCCTAACAGTTTCAAACTTAAAATGTGCTATGAATATCATCATATTTAATAGGAAATAAAGAGCATATATTAATCTGAATGAATTGCAAAGGCTAAGTAAAAGAACCCCAGTCTCATTAAATAGAAGCAGAAGAAAGCCAAGACACTTTTCTCTTCTGCTATTGTCAAGCACTCAAAGCATTATATAAAAATAAAGCAGAAAATAAATAAATGTGGTGGTTATGCGAAAGCTACATGCCATGCCTTTTTTTTTTTCTTGGCTTAGCATATATTCCCATATATACTAAAAATAAAGAGGGCTGTGGACGTATATAGGTGAAGGATGGTGCCATTGGTAGTGATCATAGCTCCCTCACCTCTATATTCAACCATTTAGGAGATTCATTTACAGGTCTCTGAAGCTAACCTTGGCGCTGTAATGATTAGATCCTTATCCATGCTGTGATTGGGGCAGTTCTTCAAAAGGAAAACAGAACACCAAGTAGACATCTAATAGTTATTACCTTAAAATTAGAGCCTCCTTGGTGTAAGTATACCTCTTTATGGGTAGCTCTTATTACTTTGGCCCAAAATTAATAAGACTGTAAGACTTTGCTTTTAATGCTTGTTTCTAAAAATGTTTCATCTCCTGTGAATTATTTTTTGTGGCAGCAAAATAAATTCTTTTTGACATGATTGTATTTCCAGCCAACTCAAACAGTAATGCCTGGACAAGTCATGAGGGTTACAACAGGTGCTCCAATCCCCTGCGGTGCTGATGCAGTAGTACAAGTGGAAGATACCGAACTTATCAGGGAATCTGATGATGTACGTGATAACCAGGTCTTATCATTCCATTCCTATGGCAGTATTATAATTAACGCCCACTTTCTCCATATTTATGAGTCACTAAGTTTTATTGCTTATGTTAGTTAGGATCTTACATTATAGTATATGGGTCTCCAGTAATTAAGGATTTGCCTTAGACTTGAAAATCTTTTGTTATAGGGGACTTTTTATAATCATTACTGAAATCATAGCAGAATTTGAGCACATTTGATCCAATAATGTCTGCATACAAACAAATTAGAAGAGCCTCAAGTTAGAAGACCAGAGATATTAACTGCTGACATAACTTGTGGTTGAAAACTTTGCTTATGACTATTTCTGATAAAATATGAAGAAGAATTTGACAAAGAATAGTTGCTAAATATTTTTAATATTATTCTAATCCAACCTACCCTTTCAACTCTTGTTCTCTATAATTTGTAAAATTCTGTGCTACCAGTGAAAGCCTGGCAATAGTAAATTTATGTCAGTTACCCCTCTATTGCCTAAAAGAAAGGAGCCGGAGATCTTTTTTGGTCTAATTATGCCTTCATATTACTGAAACTATTGGCAATTGTTGGAATTAGAGGATCAGACACTAATAAAGGTAGAATAGTCTAAACTGAGGCTATAGTGACTCTCTTGTTTTCTGAAGATGTTTAAAATATCTTAAATTTTAAAAACTGGAGGTAAAAAGAAATATATATTCTCCTAGGCTGGGTGTATAGTGAAATTCAAGCAAGCTAAGAAACAGCCACTTTCTTACCTGGGGATTTTCTTTTTAATCACCTTCCTACATGTCAGGCTTATAAAATTGAACCCCTAGCATATAGATCACATTGCCTGCTGTTAAAACTGTCCAGCAGATTTATTAGCATCAAGGAAGCCAGCAGAGCATTAAAATCCAGAACACATGCATTCACAGACTCTGCCAGATGACAAGACACAGTTCCAGTGTCACAATATTATTCACAGCCCATGAATGTAAAATAGATGATCACCATTAATTTATAGAAATCTACTACCACACAAACTATAAGTCCTCCTCTGAAATTTCTGCAGATATTTGAGAACCTTGGCATAGTATTGAACCCATTATTCATGGGAACAGAAGAGACAGTTATCTCCATGCACATGTATTATATATATTAGGGTAGCAATATATATACATATGTGTGTGTGTGAGTGTGTGTAGTTTTACCTTGAGAACACCACTTACATTCTCTAATATTGAGTTGGAGTCAGTAGTTAAATCGGTACTTTTTTTAAGTGTAAACATTTTCTTTGTTTATTCCTTGGCATCAAGCCTAATTTTTTACAAACGCATAGTAGAAATTCATTGTGTTCAAAGGTTCAGCAAATGGTTTTCCATTTCTTTATATTAGTATAAATTCTGGGACTCTCTGATGATAAAAGCATCTGAATAGCTAAATTCTTTTCATCAGAAATTTTGTTAAATTGTTCTGTTCAAAATTACATGACTTGCTCTTATTGTAGGGTACTGAGGAACTTGAAGTGCGAATTCTGGTGCAAGCTCGGCCAGGCCAAGATATCAGGTAAGTTCATAACATGTAGGATGTATAATTAACTTTTGTTTTGAAATGATTATGAATTCTTCATGATGATAACACAGTTTAGTCAACTAGTCACTAATTTTCAGGACTTTTAACACCATCAAAATGAATTTTCTAAATTTTGCATCCCCTACCCTACTAATTTTTTCATGAAGATTGTAAAAGTAAATGAAATAGTCAAAAGCAATATGAGAAGGTAAAATAAATCTACATAATTGACAATTAATCCTATTTCTAGATAATCCAAAATTATCCAACCCTATCCCTAGATAATCCAGAATTTGGTATTAACACAGATAATGCCAAAAGTGAGTATTTACACAGTTAACTCATAGCCTTCTTTCTGCTCAGTTGTAATGGAAGAATCTACTATTCTTTATATACAAAGATGAGACCACTGTCCTACCATAAGTAGTGCTTATACTTTAAATTATTTTTCTTATTTTGGAATATGTTTGCCCTGATTCCATTAATACTACTCAACTTCTCCTTGTAATAAAGCTATACTTCTACTATCCCTATGGCAGAAGACTAACATGAATAGACCTCTGCAGCCACAGAACTGGACCATTTAAGTGGTCCAAATGAAGATTATCTTCCTTACTATAACCTCGTTAACATTTTTGTCCTTATCACAAAGTCAGCAAGCTATGGAACGCTTATCGTTATTGCCTCTAGATATTTTCATATAAATTCTTGTCTTATATCAATGAAAGTTTACAATTGGTGTTTTTGACAGTAAATTACAAAGTAATTTGTGAAAGAATTTTCAAATATGAAGTAAAATATTCCTGTATAGCAGTAATAGATACAAACCTGTTTCATTATTCACTTGTATGATTAATTTTTTAATTAAAAAAGTATACTATTTTCAGAATCACTTCATTTTATTATTCTCCTTTCTCATCTCTTGACTTTTTTCTTCCCTTGAGTGTCTTTCTCTGACACTAAAATTTCCCATTAAGTTGAGAAAATATTATTCTTAGTTACACTGCTTATGGTTCTGTTTTGACTTTCAGACCCATCGGCCATGACATTAAAAGAGGAGAATGTGTTTTGGCCAAAGGAACCCATATGGGCCCCTCAGAAATTGGTCTTCTGGCAACTGTAGGTGTCACAGAGGTTGAAGTTAATAAGTTTCCAGTGGTTGCAGTAATGTCAACAGGAAATGAGGTAAAAAGAAAAGGGAGGGTGGGTGATATGAGCAGGGCTTCAAATAAAAGTATACTTTAAATTATACTTTAAATTATACATTATGGAGTATAGATCTTATCACATTCTGATAACTGGAAAAATAATTAATTGGCCTCAGGATAGTTCAAGTACAGAAAATGAGAATGAAGAACTAAAAATTAGATATTAATAAGCATTGCCTTCCATTTATTACATTGAAATATCGCAACCAATAACCTTTCTACACACTAGGAATATAGCAAAGAATATTAGATACTAGCCATAGATATTCAACTGTGCACACTCAATGCTTAGTCAATTAGGACAATGAATTATGCCCACCCTGCTGTTGAGATGATGGACGACCTCTGTGTGGGAAGTATTTCAGTGAATTTGGACATCATGACTAGCCCTTCTTCTTGCTAAAGTTCCATGTGATTTTTAATCACCAGGAAGTGTTTGATAATCAAGGTTTTTTTTTGTTTTTTTTTTTTACATTTCTAAAGATAGCATCTCATGACATTTTTATTCAGAATGTGTCAAAATGTCATTTCAACCCTGGTTTAGGAAAGGTAATTTAGTCCCTTTTTTTCTGAGAATTCTTGAAAAACTACCTGTTCCCTGTTTTACTTAGGTTATAGAAAATTTCATTTGCAGCCTCTAGGTCAATCTGGAAATATTGAAAAGTGAATCTACTAGAAATACAAAGCTTAAAAGCAGAATCAGAAATTACTGTGATTTTTTAAAAATATTTTTGGGAAGGGCAGGACAAGATGGTGGCAGAGTGAAAATGCTGGGCTCATCTATGCCACATACACACAGCTGAATTTTAGCAGAAAAAAAAAGCCCAGAAATACCTGAAAGAAACCAGACAACTGCAGCATACACTAGGAATAACATCTAGAGGAAAGGGACCCCAGTATGCAAGGAACAGACCTCCCTAGGCAGGTGTTGTGAACACCAGCAGCCTGGCAAGCCCAGAAAGCAGCAAAGTAGAACTGGCAAGACCCAGACCCAGCAACACTTCATAGATTTCAGCAGGCCCTACATTGGGGTTGAACCTTTAAATAAGAAAAAAAAAACAAAAATACAGAATATAAAAAGATCAATAGATAAGATTAAAAGATTCTGAATAAATCTAAGGAAATAAAATAGACCAAGTGGAAGACCTAATCAGTTACCTTGAAGATGATAATGCACAAAGAATCCAGGAGGGAGAAGAAAAAAAATGAAGAAACACTTTGGGAATTATCTGACTCCATGAGGAAAGGCTATATGAGAATAATTGGGTATCCCAGAGGGAGAAGTGAGAGAGAGGAGAATGGCAAACTTATTTAAAGAAATAATAGAGGAAAAACTTCTCCAACCTGGAGAAGGAACTTAGCATACACGTCCATGAAGCTAAAAGAAGACCAGGATACCAGGAGACCTACACTAAGACACATAGTAGTGAAGCTTCCAAAAGTTCCAGACAAAGATAGCATATTGAAATTGGCTAGGGGGAAGAAGAAAATAACCTATAAAGGAACACCCATCAGGATAACATCAAACTTCTCTGAAGAAACAATACAGACAAAGAGAGAATGGAATAATGTGATCAGAATACTTTAAGATGAAATCAGCCAGCCAAGAATTTTATGCAAGGCTCTCCTTCAGATATGAAGGAAAAATGAAGGTCTTCACAAACAAACAGAAGCTGACAGAGTTTGCAAACACTAGATATCCCCATTCCAAGAAATGTAGAAAGATATCTCTTATCTAAACCAAAGAGAAATCAGAACTAATACTTAAGAGGAGTTTGTGATATGATTGACTAAATTTTGGATCTGCCATGTTAATAGACAAGTGAAATTTATTTTAACCTATCTGAAACTAAATTATTTTTCTCTATTGTTTTCTGACTATTTCAGAATTTCAAACCTTCAGGAAAAGAGTATAGTTTATCTTCTTTGTCCTTTTTCCAATGTAGTGCCTAACATACAGGTACCCAATAAATATTGAACTAAATTATATGATCATGGAGATAACAGTAGCTAAATTTAAATGGGAGTGGAGGGGAGGGATGTAGAGCTACCATAACCAGAGATTATGGAGTTGGAAGTGTTATTACCTTGTTAAATACAACAGGTCAGAGAAGGTAGGGGAAAAGAATCATAAAATCTGGCAAAGCCAGTCCACAGATAATGATTCTATGGTAGTGGGAAACTGGAACTTAAAATTCTTCCTTAGAGTCTATGATCTAAGTACCATCTCTACTCTTACCCCATCACCTTTCCCTACCATAAGAAAAAAAAAAAAAATAGCTTTGAAAAAATACACCCAGTGTCCTCTGGGTGATAACTGAGAATATTAGTTCACCCCTACAAAAGGATTAAGAAGAATACAGGAAATAAAGCTTAATTAAACTTGCCTAATACTAGTTGTTTACAAGATCACTATCTTTTTAGATCAGAATCTATTTAGATTTGATCTCAATAACTATACTAGTTATTTACAATCACTCATACTATTTAGCTTTCCCAAACCCCATTAACTCAGATGCACAAAATAGATAAATAAACCACAAAGGAGAATAGCTCATTAATTTAACTGGTTTAACAGAAATTTCTTTCTGATGCTAAAAATAATGTCAGTCAATCCTAGGGACATTAGCTCATTTGAAAGAATGTTTGGTATAAGTTAATAGCTCTAAGAGATGACTAATGAACCTAACTGGAATGCAAGCAAATCTAAAATGTTGACTTCTCTCTCCATTAGCAAAGCAAAATACCCTATTCTTTTGTCCTTTCCCAGACCACTGTAAGGGTAATAAAGAGAACCTTGAAAACATTCATTCTCAAAAATTTAAGAAGTTAAATAAATGAAATAAACGATTTATTCTTAGAACAAAGAGCTTAAAAGAGAATATAAGAGAAACCCTGTTACTCTTTAAAAGAAAAAAGTGGTAAGATCTAAGGAATTATTTTATTTTATGATTTTTCTTTTTCTTATTTTAATTGAAGTAGCATTGGCTTACAAAACTGTTTGCTTAAGAAGTGTAGGCTCTCCCCTTTCAGGTGTCCCCACCTCATACCCAGTGCCGAACATGCACAGTTCACACCTCAGCTCCTTGTGTTCCCTCCCCACTTTGGTCTTGCCTCTCCTCTCCCCCTTCCTCTCCAGTAACCTCAATTTCATCATCAGCTTTTTAGGGTTTGTAGTTTGGCTTCATCTGAGCCTTGGTTTGGTTTCTCTATATTACACATATAAGTGACATTATCCAACATTTGTCTTCCTCCTTCTGACATTTTTCACTTAGCATAACCCCCTTCAGCTCCATCCAGGTTTCACATAAGGCCAGAATTAATCATTTGATTGCCAAGGAGTATTCTACTGAATATGTATAACACCTCTTCCTAATCCACTCATTGTATCTTAAGCCATTGAGACTTAAGTCATTTCTGTAGCTCGGCTATTTTACATAGTGCTACAATGAACATGAGGTTGCAACTATCCCTTCAAATGATTGTTTTTATATTCTTCAGGTAGATACCTAAGAATAGAATACTGGGTCATATGACAGATGTATTTTTAATCTTTTGCGAAAACTCCATACTGTTTTCTATAGGAATTGGACCAGTCTACATTCCCACCAACACTGTAAGAGGATTCTTTTTTCTCTACATCCTCACCAGCACTTGCTATTTCTGATCTTTTTGATATGGGCCATCCTCATAGGTATGAGGTGGTATCTCATTGTGGTTTTGATATGCATTTCCCTGATGACAAGTGATGGTGAGCATTGTCTTAATATGCCTGTTGGGTATCTGTATGTCTTCTTTGAGAAGAGCCTGTTTAGCTCTTCTGCCCATTTTTGTTGAGTGTATGAGTTCTTTGTAGATCTTTGAGTGGACTAAGATGTGGTGCATTTATGGAATACGCCTCAGTTAAAAAAAAAAAAAAAAAAAAAAACATCAACTCTTGTCATTTGCAAAAACATGAATGGAGCCAGAGAAAATTATTCTAGGCAAAATCAGAAGAAAGGCAAATAATCACATGACTTCACTTATATGTGGAATATAAAGAAACAAAACAGTCAGCCAAAAAACAAACCCTGGAAATCTGACTGTAAAATGGAGGTTTATCAGTGGGGGAGGAGGAGGTGGAGAAAAAAAGAGAAGAGGACATAATGGACTATGATGGAAATCCATGGATGCCTTGCTGGTGGATGTGGTGTGTTAACATACACCTGAAGAGGTGGGATTCTATATTTCTGAGTCATACTGTGTTGTAAATCAATTTTTAAAAATTATAAATGAGAAAAAAACAGAGACATAAAAAAGAGAGGAAAACGGAAAATAAAATGGTAGCTATAAACCCTAACATATCAATAATTACATTAACTATAAATGGTCTACTTTATTTGTAATAACAAACAACTAGAAATAGCAGTAAAAAGGTATGAACTGGGCCTCCCTGGTGGCATAGGGGTTAAAGTCTCAGTGCTATCAAGCTATTGGTAGCCACTGCAGCATGAGTTCAATCCCTAGTCAGGGAGCTAACCCACATGGCGCAGCAGACTTCTCTTGTCTCGCCTGCTACTCCCTTCAGCAGTGTATCTCAGTAGATCCACCTGTTCTGCTCTCTACTCTGTCTCTGGTGAATCCTCTCACCCCTTACCCCTCTAGCCTATACCACAGTTCTTGTATGCATAAATAAATAAAAATATATTTTTAAAAGGTATGAACTATTGCTACATGCTACAGCCTGGATGGATCGTGATAGCATACTATATGAAAACAAAATTTCAAAAGTTCACTTAGCATATTATTCCAATTATATAAAATTCTTTAAATGACAAAATTATAAATATGAAAATCTTATTAGTGGTTTTTATAAGTTACTGATGGGAGAGAGGGAGACTGTAACTATAAGGGATTACCATGAGGGCTATTTTTGTGGTCATGAAATAGCTATGTATCTTCATTAAGGTGGCAGTTAGACAAATATACATATGTGGT